ACACCCCGCAGTGTCTCTGGGCTCAGAGTGGGTCTGGCGCCAGCTGTGCACACTTCCAAGACCTCCAAAGCAGGAGAAGCCAGAGACAACCATAGCATCAGCTCAGACAGACGTTGGACATTTATGGCTTAAATTATTAAGAACTCCAGGAACTAACTTCAGTGAGGGCTGTTGGTTTTTTTTAACCAGCATTCACGGTTAGAGTAGGTTGTGTCCTCAGGACTCGTGGGCTCACTGTTAGAGTGGGGGGGCCACCAGGATTCCTGGGTTCTCATTTTCAGTTGCGGAGGCTGTACAGGCCATTTCCCCACTCGGTGTCAGTGTCTCCACCTGTCATACAGAGACAACAATCCTCCATGATGTCACAGGGTGGCCATGCTGGGAAATCGCTGTAGGGTTCCGCTCGACCCCAACTCTGGGACAATTTGTAGAGAGTGGAGGCGCCGAGAGCTACTGAAGCAAATGGCAAACCCTGGACATGAGACGGAAACCACTTCACGGCCCGGGGTGCAGCAGCCTCATTCCAGCACCTTTCCCACGCCCATCGCCCCAATCTCATGCTATAACCCCCAACATCTATTGGACGTGTCAGGCTTGCCTCTGAACAACACTGCACACTCCCGGAGGCTCAAACCATTATGTACAGCACCGAGCGCCACCCATCGCGGGACTCACATACATCTCCGCTGAATCCTAGAGCCTCCGAGTCCCGAGACAAGACCTGCTTAGGCAGAGTGGCACCAGAGTCATACGGTAAACCTGAGCAGGCCACACACAACAAAAGGGTTAAACACCAAGCAGCTGCAAGTTCAACCGATGCAGAGGCAGCGAGTTGGAACCCAGGCAAGCCCTGGGAATTATGGGATAGCTCTGGTGGACTCAAGCACCACAACCGTGCTTTAGCTTATATATCCTCACTGCAAAGGCAGACTGGGATATTGGTTGGTATCTGTAGCCCAGGCTAACAATCCCCTCTGCTAATGTAACCACCAGTGGGCAGATTTGAACCTGGGACTTCTGGAGCAAAGTATAGAGCCTCTACCCTCTGAGCTAAAAGCCAGCTGGCTCCCAGCCTGTGCTATAAAGGTCTCTTGGTCTTAACTGTTGCTGTGGTCTAGGTATCACTTGCATTGCTCAGTAAACACACGAGGTGTGCGGGTTACACTAAGAGAAATGCTGGCAACGTGTCATAGGACTCTGTGTGTGGATGGCAGGGTGGTTGGGGCATGAACATAAGAACAGCCATACTGGGTCAGACCAAAGGTCCATCTAGCCCAGTATCCTGTCTGCCAACAGTGGCCAAAACCAGATGCCCCAGAGGGAGAGAACACAACAGGTAATCATCAGGTGATCCCTCTCCTGTCATCCACTTCCAGAAGCTAGGGACACCATTCCTACCTATCCTGGCTAATAGCATTCATGGAACTAACCTCCATGAATTTATCTAGTTCTTTTTTGAACACTGTTAAAGTCCTGGTCTTTACAACATCCTCTGGCAAGGAGTTCCACAGGTTGATTGTGCACTGCATGAAGAAAAACTTCCTTTTGTTTGTTTTAAACCTATTAATTTAATTTGGTGCTCTCTAGTTATTATATTATGAGAACAAGTACTTTCCGTACTTACTTTTTCCCTACCAGTCATGATTTTATAGATTTCTATCATATCCCACCATTTGTCTGAGCCTAATTTCTATACTACACAACCTCCCCAAGGATGCAGGACCTGCATGGACAAACAGATGTCTCCAAAGGATGGGGACCATAACACTACACAACCTCCCCAAGGATGCAGGACCTGCATGGGTAAACGGATGTCTCCAAAGGATGGGGACCATAGACTGTAAGCTGTTTGTGGCAGAGACCTTGCCTCCTTCCTTTACAGCTCTCAGAACCAGGGAGACAGTAACATCAGGACTAGCACACATCTCTGCTGGAAGCCCTGAGATGGGCACATCAGAGACAGATGTGGAACAAGACACACGCCCTCCCACTGGGAGCGTGTTTGAATTATCAGTATTGGGGATTATTGACGGGTGACTCACAACAGAGGAGACATTTCTAAGGCGAGATTTCACAGGCATGACTCAGCCTGGCTAGCTATAAACAGCATCCTCACGCCTCCACCACGAGCTCCGTTATGGAGGGACTGTTTGCGACAATACCCTTTAATTAAGCATGCACCTGGAGGCACGTTTCTGCTTAGCAGATGTGGGAGGAAGCATCTCGTTACCGGTACCCATTTCCCGAGCCTGCAAGCAGCATAACCAAGAGCAGTCTCTGACCCTCCCGATGGCAGACACGATAATCCAGCCTCGCTATGCACCCGTGAATTTCCCTTGAGCCCGGCGTTTTTCACTGTGCCTTAGGACAGGCATTCCTCATGCTCCCCAGGGTTTACAACTCCCCTTTACTCTCCCAAATTAATCCCCGACCAGGGGCATCCTTGAAATCCATCATTAAATCAACTGGCGGGAACAGGGTTTCGTAGGTCACCGTCCAGTAGTGATTCCAGGCTTCCCAAATACAATCAACCTCCAGCCTATTGGGGCATCTGTCTCATTTGAAAGGCTGAGGAGGGCAGCTTTCTCCCCCAGTGCCTGGCCCCCTTCCAGAGGTGGCAGGGCCCCACTTGGTGTTGCGAAATTTCTGCGGCTCCATCTGAGGCTGCTCTGTCCCCAAG